TCCCCCAAATGCCATAAGTTTATTGCATTTTAAAAATTAAATTTATTTTTTAAATTAACAAGCACTTATTTTTACCTCCCACAAATTCTTTTGGAGGAATTATTAATGACAATCTTTGATAGAGGAAAATAAAGCTATGGTTCCTAACCGAGAAATATAATTTTCCCTTCAGGTTGGTGATATGTAGCTCTGCATTAATTGGCTTAAATTGAATGGATGTTCACACTTGCAGGAAAACCTGTTTAGTCCTCTTTTTGTGTGATCACTACATTCCCATATTATAGGTCTACAACTTAAATATTGCCCCCTCTTTTCAGGCTGCCAACCACCCTTCTTTCATTTGGGCAGAACTTAATTCTAAGCATACAATAACAACTGCCATCAGTCCCTCTGCTTTGTGATGTCATTCATAAATAACCCCTTCTTAATTGCATGTTAATTATGATCTTGTGTATAGATAGAAGATATATTTTATATATATATATATACACACACACACACACACACATATATATATATCAAACGTGAGTGTACAACTATACTATTTCTAATTTATAATGAGTTAGAGATGGATAGACAGCTGACAGAGCACAAGTGGGTCAGAAACTTTGGTGATGACATAGCAAGGGGTCTGGAAGGTGAGAGGGTATGGAATGAGGATAGAAATAAACAGGTAAAAAAGAAGCTAGAACATTATCTGAATTTAAAAAAAAACAAAACAGAAACAGAAGAGTGCCTAAAAAAAGGTAACTCGAAATAAGTGAGGGAGTTTTCTGAGTCAATGCCTGGCTTTTGATTTCAAGAATGCTGACTAGGAGAGTAGCTTTGGCAGCAGCTATGCCTGGAGAACTTTTCACAAAGGAGTGGCTTGCCTCAAGAACTAAGGAGAGGTTGAGAAAGAGTGAGCTTAGCCAGGACTTAGGGCAGAAGGGGGGGTAGAACTAAAGAGAAAAATCAGTTGTTTTTGAAGCTATTTATGCCACCTGTCACCTTCAATCTTCAGTGCCGAGTGCAACCCAGGTCAGAAGTGACTAAAACATATTATGGTACGATTGTTGCCCAGTGGCCTGTGAGAAGCAATAATAATCCAGCAATCCTTTGCCAAACACTTTATATTTTCCTAGCATTTTATAATTATAATTATTCCACACAACAATAAACTATAGTCATCAGTATTGATATCTTAATTTTATTGATGAGGCTTATCAGACACAGAAGTTAAGTGATTAGCTTGGGGTAACCCAGCAAGTTTGGGAAAAGGGTATTGAGTCTCTGACAGTAGAACTAATGATTTAATATTTTACCTGGGGACGAATGGGTATACAGAATGATTTCTTACCAAGGAAAATACCGGTGGGACCAACACATTAAAAATCCAAATGTTTGGTTCAAATACTTGTACTTGGGTGAATGTCATGTTAGATCAATCAAGCATCATCCAAATTCTTTATTTACTACTTACATGCACATTATTTATTCAGTACTTATATGCACATGCCACTGTGGAATGCGCTATACACAGAGTTAAAAGGTTAGTAGAGTACAGTGGAAAGAGCAATGGCTCTGGAGCTAGATGCCAGAGGTTGAAATCCTGCTTACTATCTGTGTGACTTTGGGCAAATCACTAAACCTCAGTTTTCATGATCTGTAAAATGAGGGGGTTGGGCCAGATGATTACTTAGATCCCTCTAAGTTCCACGTTTTTGTTCCAATGCACAATAAGCTTCTGAACCTGGTCCCTACCCAGTGGGAACTTGTAGTCTAAGACTGACGACAAAAGAAATCATCCAACAAAATAAGCCATGCTCCATCTTCATTATAGTAACTGAGGTCAAGACTAATTTTTCGGCCAGACTCCAGTACGTTGCACTACTGATCTTTGTTTATATCATGATGTTTTGATTGCTCTAGGAATAAACATTGGTTAAATGTGTGACTTAAATGACGTAACAAACTCAGGGATAAATGTATATCATGGAATATCTTGTATATAGTATACGAGCAAAGGTACTCATGAAGAAAAGAATCTTGACATTCACCACTGGTTTTGTCTGATGCCAACCCAAACATTGTTAACAGGGGCTCCCTCCCTTAAGCAGATGCCTTGAGAATACAGGTCTTTCTCTAGCTCCTCTCAACACTCTTCTACCATAGTGAACCAACTGACTTGTCACATTCAGTCCGATGTTTAGACTATAATCAATTAAACAACAATAACATGTTTGTGAGTATTGACTATGTGTTCAGCACTGGGCCAAGTGCTATAGAGTTTGGAGAATCAGCAGATGATTCGGTCCCCGCCCTCAAGAAGTTCACATTCGATTTTGAAAAAAAAAATAGATCCAAAGAAAGTAATTACAGGACAATATGAGACTGTGTGTACTTTAGTGCTATTTTGGGTAGCACAGATTAGTGTTATAGCTCAGAGAAGAGAGACGTTGATGAGGTTTGACAGTAACGAAAGGCTTCAAGGGGAGGTAGGGATAACAATGGGTCCTGAAGGATGAGGAGGATTTGAAAGGGTACAGAGAAGAGAGAAGACTGAGAGAAGGATGAGAAGGGAACAATGTAAGCAAAAGTCTGGAGGCAGAAGTGAGCAGAGTGCTTAAAATGAATGTGTTTGAGAGAATAATAAACATATGGGTTTTGAATAAAGCAGAGAATATATGTTGGAGAGTAGTGGGAAATGAAGTTGTCTAGGTAGGATGGGGCCAGATCTTGGAAGGTCATGAAGGACAGAGAGAAGGTTTTAGTCTTGATAAGGTTTAAAGAATTTTGGAAGGTTTTTAGTAGAAAAGTGGCATAATGGTGCAGTTAGGTGGCACAGTGGATAGAGTACTAGCCCTGGAGTCAGGAGGACCTGAGTTCAAATCCAACCTCAGGCACTTACTAGCTGTGTGACTCTGGGCAAGTCACTTAATGTTGACTGCCTCAAAAAGAAAGAAAGGATGAAAGAAAGAAAGAAAGAAAAACAAGTGACATGATGCAAAAAGTGTTTTAGGAAAATCAGTCTGGCAGCAGTGTTGCTAGATGGATAGAGAAGGGAGTTAGGATAATATGCACAGCTCAGCATGGCCACTGCCCTCAGTCTGTAGTCATGATCTGCCCTTGAGCTCTGATATAATTAGATGGTCAAGAGATCAGAGACACCACGAAGTCAAAGAAGCAGAAATAAAGACTGAAAAGAAATCTCAAAGCCAAGATAATTTGTAATCACTTAGCTGGGGTTGCTGGAAGTTTACATGGGTGCTGTAGTTGCTACACAGAAAAAATTCCCAGAAATTATAGCTGTTTAAAAGTGGAATGGACTGCCTCAGGTAGTGGTGAGTTCCTCATCTCTGCAAGACCTGAACAGAGTCTAGATAACTAAGGGTTGTGAACATTGGAGAGGGAATTCCTTCTCAGATATGCATTGGACTAGTTCATGTCTGAGAGGTCCCTTTCAACCTTAAAATTCTGTGATTCTAACCCCTGCCTCCCACCTTCTAATCCTACATCTACTGAAGTTACTCTCTCAAAATTTACCATTGATTTCTTCACTGCTTCATCCAATGATCTTTGTTTTTTTCTGTCCTCATCCTTCCTGATCTCTCTATAGCTTTTGAAGCTATTGACTCGGGGAGGGGAAGAGAAAAAAAAGGGAGAGTAAGGGAATAAGCATTTATATAGCACACACTATATGCCAGGCACTGTGCTAAGTCCTTTTTTACAAATATTATATCATTTGATCCTTGCAACAACTCTGAGAGGAAGGCCTATTATTATTTCCATTGTACAATTGAGGAAACAGAGGTTAAGGTTACTTAACTCAGGGTTACATAGCTAGTAAGTGACTGAGGTTGGGTTTGAACTTGAGTTCTTCCTATTTGAACTCAAGACTTTCTGATTCCAAGCCCAGTGCTCTAGGACCACTCCCTTACTCTGTATACTTTCTCTTTCCTTGGCTTCTATGGCAGAGTTTTTTCCTGGTCCTCCTTCTATTTATTGTTTGTTTTTTTGCTTTTTGGTGAGGTAATCAGGGGTTAAGTGACTTCCCTAGGGTCACACAGCTAGTAAGTATCAAGTGTTTGAGTCCAGATTTGAACTCAGGTCCTCCTGACACCAAGGCCAGAGCTCTATCCACTGTGCTACCTATCTGCCCTGCCCCCTGTCCTCCTTCTTTTTAGCCTGATTATATCTTCCTAAGGTATCCTTTGCTGTTATATCATCCATTCCTGGATTTTTCCTGAAAGCTCAGTCCTTGACTGATCTTCATTCTTCTTTCTTATTGTATCTCTTAGTGATTTCATCTATTCCTATTGGTTTTATTACATTTCTATGCAAATTATTACTAACTCTCTTTGACCTATCACCCTGTATCACCAACTTCCCAGTGGACATCTATATCTGAATGATCTGATGTTATTTCAAATAATTTACATTTCAAAATGAACCCATGATTCCCCCCTAAACTTTGTCATTTTACTTGTCCCTTCATACCATCTACTCTGTTGTTACTGCTATTGATCCATGTATTCTTGAAGGGGACCAATGACATCATGATGGTGATGTTAGAAGCCTCAAGTAGATAATATGATAGGAGAAAAAAAGACATGCACATATAATTATGATACCAACTATGGTAGTGTAAAAGTAAGGTAGACACAAGCATTACCAAAAATTTGAGGAAAGAGAGATAATTTTCAGATGGCAAAGAGTTAAGTGGAACCAGGAAAAGTCCCAGGAAATGTCAGAGAGATCAGTTGAACCTAGGCTGAGAAAAGGTGAAGTCCTTCAGAATAATGATTATTTCATCCTTCATACTTCTAGGGGTGGGGAAGAATATATGATGTATATGGATAAATATAATAAAAATTATATTTCTGTAAACTATTTATAGATATAGATGTATAATACAGTCATATATTCAAGCATAGTACTAGTTTCCTTTACAATAGCTCAAATTCTACGTTCTATAAGAGGCCCTTCCAGGCTACTTCCTTCCTCTCTACCAGTTGAACCTTTCCTCTGAGACATAGTAGTTTGCAAATTGTTTCCCCAATTAGAATGTGAGCACCCTGAAGGTAGGTATTGTCTTTTTTCCTTTATGTGTAATATCTCCAGTGCTTAGTACAAAGTCAGTGCTTACAAATGCTTTTTGGATAGGTTACAAGATCTGAATGGTGGAGATAACCAGAACAAAAGCATTCTAGGACACAGTGAAAGGCAGAATAAACTTTAATCTGGGAGAATTAAAAAAATGCTTCATAGAAGAGTTACCTGAGTGGAGCCATGGAGGGAGAGGATTCTGACAGACCATGGTAAGTAGGGAGTATAAACTGGGGTATGGAGATGGTATAAGTGAGTTTGGGTAACAGCTAACAGTTCAGTTTGTCTGGAACATGGAGAGTGAAGAAGAGTTATATGAAATAAGAATAAAAAGGTAGTCTTGGTGGCTGATTCTTTTCTATTCTAGTTCACTTAACTTCCACCACATTTTTGAATAAACTTGGAATCAGCATTTGAGTCCTCACTCCCTGAAGGAGGAAGGCATAGTCCTTGAAGGGTCCTCTCATGAGCTTCAGGCCATTTTGCATTGGTTTTATGGTTATCTTCTTCATCCTATTCTTTCATCCTACATGGCTGCGGCTCCCAGGAAGTTGTATAAATATGCCTAATCTGTTTCTCTTTGACCTGCTTCTATTGGTCTGAGGCATATTCCCAAGCTAGTTGAGCTAATATGATATGTTTGTAAAATGCTTAGCATAGTGCATGACACATAGTAAGTAGGCACTTATTAAGTAGTCAGGCACTTAATAAGGTTTACTTCCTTCCTTACTAGGTGCTAAGATTGGTTCTCCCTTTCATTGAGGTTAGGTGGAGGTGAAGACCTTTTTTGAGCTAGCATTACTTACAGCCATTTGGCCTGGATAATGGAGATCATCTCTACCTAAATAACATCTGTACTATCTTGGTCTTTCTAGGGTCCAGAAGCACACTCTTTGGTCCCTTCTATTTGAAAGTCCCATTTGGGCCACTCATTTGATTTTGTTTTCTGTCTGAGTCTCTCACTAGCACTGTAGCAATGACTTAACCCGATGGCTAATCAAATCTTTCCCAGTTTAGGTTGCTAGACTTGCCTATTTCTTCAAGTTTTCTCTGATGACTTATCACTCTATGCTCTACTTCCCCAAACCTATTGCAATGGTCTTCCAAAATCCTATCACTGTAGTTTTATAATAACAAAAAGCCTTAAATGTGCAGTGATATCTAATAGAAACAATTTCTACCCCTGTGTTAAAAATGCTCCTTGTTATTATTATTGCCAAAGGAATAGGAAGGTTATTTCATTATAACTTACTATGACATAGTATGCCTGACGTGATTATCTAACCTCTGCTTAAAGACTTCTAAAGAAGGAGAATCTCTTAGTCATTGCATTCCATTTGTTTCTATAGAGCAGCAGACAGAATACAGAATAAGATATATCATTAACTTCGCTTTTAAGGATTTAGTTACTTATAGAACCCAAAGGACCATCATAAGGCAATTTTATGTCTGATGCAGGTCTTCAGCTTATTGAAAGCTCTGACAGTACCTGAATCTTTGACTTTTGGAAAACCTTGAAAATTATGTTTAATTGTTTCAGCAAAACCCATTGTTTTTACCTCTTTTCTTACGAATGACTATCCATAGTGCCTTGTCTCACAGGCAAAGATAAAGTATATGTGAAGGCTCATAAAATCCCTAAATGCTGAATATTCTTTAATACATAAAAAATGAGCTTTGAAAAGACCTTTTTAATTTGCTCTGAAATGTTCCTTCATCTTATGATTTTATTTACTATCACATGATTTTCTACCAATACAGACTGATAACTTTTTATGCAATCCTTAGTCTAAAAGTTCTACCTTGGCCACCAAAGGCTTACCTGACCTTCCCAGGGTCCTACAATCAGTATGAGATAGAGATGGAACTTGAATTGTTCATTCTGACTCCAAGGCCAGCCTTCTAGCCACCAGGAGTTCCATACACCAATGAAATACAGATCCAGACCAATATACCCCAATACCCTCTGCCCCAAAGAAGGCCTAGCGTTAGGATTACAGAAAGAAATAGAACATGTAAGTCTAATCCTTACTCCCTAAAAAGAAGATATTAATATATCATTTTGTCTTCTATTTTTCCCTGAAATCTCCATTTCTGACCGAGGCTAAAATTTAAATTAGAAAAGAAAAGGACCTTTCCAGATAGAAAGAAAATATTATTGTGGAAGGGGACATAACTGTGTTTGTCTTTCTCTATTTTTCTTGTCCCATGCTTTGGACAGTCATTCATTCATTCATTCATTCAAAAAGCATTTATTAGTCATCTACTATTTGCCAAGTACCACTCCACTCAAGACACATTCTTATCCTCTTCTCCATGAGAAATAAGGGAGGTGATCCTGCTTCTCTATATGACCAAAGATGAAATTGTTTATCCCTTGCAAAGTTCCCTTCTCATTCAGGGAACATGCATGTGTTTCTTCTATCTCCTGCTGGAATGATAGATCTGTATAGGAAAGGGTTTTTTTTGTTTGTTTTCTTGATATCTTTCCTGTATAGCACCTTCCTGACCCTTTTTCCATTGGTCATCCTCTTTGCTCTCCTTTTTAGAAGATCAAATTGTGTGGAGGGCCAGTCTAATCAGCATTTTCTTTGTTCTCTGTTCTTGCAAAGGAGGTAGAAATCTGAGTTTAAAGATTCTGTCTACCAGGGTTTCCTTTCGTCAGGGTCAGAGAGTTGCTTATATGAGGTAAAATCCAGTCTTTCAGCTTTCATTACCATTTGTTCCAGATTGGAATGCACTATTTATGGTATGCTAGCAACTAGAACACAGATTACAAGCTCCAGCCACCCCCACTTCCCATACTGTGATGCCCATGCAGGGGAATGCCCTCCATGGCACGTTCTATGGCAGCTCCCAGACACTAGGCTCAGCTGCACTCACTTTTCTCCTCCCAGGTCAAGCCATGACACCCCTATTTCTCACTTTCCACACACTTTAACATTCATAGTGTTTAGACTAGCTTTTAACCTTTCAAAATCACATATGCATATACCCATCTCTAGGTATTTTCTAAAAGTCCTAAATACCTCAGCCAGAACTGAAATCACACAAAACTTCCTCTGCAACTATGGGAAATGGGACATGAATCTTTCCTTAGACGGGTCAACAACTCTATCTGTCTCCTCCCTATCCCCACTATGGTAGCAACCCAAGCCCCTGATACTTCCCTCATCTATAAAATGAGGAGGTTGTAGTAGATGGTCTCTTTCAGCCTAAATCCAGTGATTCTAATTTCAATGGAAACTGACAATCTATCCATTCTAAACCCACTGGTACATCAGTGAAATGGCACCTCTGCATGATTCCAAAGCAGAATTTTATATAAAAAAGCATTAATTATAGAAAGTCATTAATTATATATGCAAATATTTCTTGTGCTTATCTGACCATAGGAACAATATTATTTTATAAAGAGGTTTAAATAAGAAATTGACAAATCTTAGAAAAGGAATCTTTTAAAATTATTTAGGAAGGCTATAAAAGCTTGGGAAAATATGGCTCACTTGTGATACAAATCTAGCTGAAATTTTGAAATCTTTTTCATTCATTAGTTCCACATTTTACTTTAACAAGGACACAAACGCTTGGCAAGCCAGTGAAGAGTACGATATTGCTCTATCAGTGAAATTCAGAGAATTTACATCCAAAGGATTGCATTCAAAGGGATTTGTCACTAATACCATTTTGTATGTAGCAGGTATGTTTCACTGTAAAGTAACGAGCAAGTCTGTAATCTTTTGATATCTATTCCATTTTCATCTTAATTTTATAAAAAGCCTTGAGGAAAAAGCACATCAAAATAGCCTCTGTATTTAGATTCTGAATTCTACTTACCATTAGTTTTCCCCAAAACTCATCCTCACTGGCAAAATGTTCCATCGCCATTGAAGAGATAAATTCCTTGTTCTGCCTTGTCAAATATGTCACATGAACTGTTCAACTGAATGAGCACAGGAAGGAAAACATTTCCAAACCAGCAGCTTCCATGATATTGAATGTTGTGGGTTCTCCTATAGCCAAGAGTCTGGGCCGAAATAGAATTTGCATACTTTGGAGTGAGCTGGGTGGTGGCATTTCCCACACTTATGATTCAAAACTGAGATATGTCTCATTCGAGTAGATAATAACATAACTCAAAGAACTCGAGTGTCCTCTAGAATTATTACCATTTATGAAATGACAACTCCTATTCTCTTGTATAGCTGGGCCCCGCCTTGCAAATGATGCCAAGAACAATCTTGTGGGTGGCGTGTGTACCTTCGGGCTCCTTTTCAGGGCTGACTCTTGTAATTACAAACCTCTCTCTTGACTTTAAGGTGTGTGCAGCAACACATGAATAGATATCTGGAATGGAAATACTGTATAGAGTTTCAAGTGTAAGAAAATAACTTCTGGCATTCCCACCTACAAAATTTGCTTACGACTGCCACCAAATTACTGGTCCCATTTGTGGCACTGTGAATATACAATGCTGAAACCAAAGCTGCATAAAAAGATCCAAACTTCTGAGGATGAGAGCTGCTTCAGCACAGTACCTGGTACACTGCAGGGGCTTAACAAATGCTTATTGATCATTGTTGCTGACTGATCACAAACAGCATTCTAATGAGAGACAGAAGAAATATGGTGCACAGCACACCTGGCTTCTGACTACCTTTCCAGGCTTACTGCTCATTAATCCCTTTTATGTACTCTAAACTCCAGCCAATTTGGCTTATTTGCTGTTCACTGTACCTGATACTTCATCTCTTATCTCTGGGACTTTGCAAAGCCTGCTTCCCATACCCAGAATGCATGACCTCCTCTGTTCCACCTGTTAGAATTCCTCACTCATGTAACCACGTTTCCCACACCCCTAGGACTTTCCTGAACGTTGGCCCAGTTCTTGCTGCCTGCCCCCTTATCCCCACCAAAATTATTTTGCATGGTTTTAAACCTGATTTATCTACGTACTAGTTGTCCTCTCCTCTCTTCCTAATAGAATGTAAGCTTCTTGAGGGCAGGGACTTTTTCATTTTTGTCTCTGTATTCCTAGAACCAAGTACAATGGCTGGGCACAAAGTAGGAACTTAAGAAATGCTTGTTAAATGTATCTTAGAGAATTGGTTTTGGAGTTCAATCATAGAGATAGATGAAAGGACAGAGGAGCATAGCTTTAGAGGCAATCTAGTTAGAGGCTGCTGGTAGAGAGTCCCAAAGGAATACTGGTAATTTCTTTCTTGCACTTACATGACCTTTGAAGCTTTCAGTCAACTGTCCTTATGTTCAGAGCCAGTGAAGCTGTCAAAGCTTAACAGATACCAGATGAGAAATAACATTCAAAGTCAAGACAGATGTGTGTTTATACATATTCTTTAATAAATACCACCTGAAGTGATCTAGTGATTTTTTTTTTTCCTTTCCTTTGTCCTCTTTTAATTACACCAGCTGAATGGAGGACCTTTATAGAAAACAGAATTGTTCTTATGCTTCCTGATATAACTGAGTTACCATCACAAATCATGCCTGGAACACAGAAAATCGATGGTATACTTCCACGAGTGATCCCTTTCAGAAAATATTAGTGATGGTGGCCCTTGTTCAGGTAAATATGGGTTGGTTTCCTACAATGCTTATTTTGAAAGCCATGCCACAGAGCATGGTTATTTATGTCTGATGCATCTTTTCCCCCACAGGGTTACTCCACATTGAGCTCGGGTTTACCCAGAATAATGCTGAAAACAAACAAACAAATCCAAACAGGAGGGAAGAGAAAGAGAATCTTGATCAAAGAGGAGAATAAGTTTTTAGAATAAAACTCTTTTTTGGGGGAAGGTAAAAGGAAACAAAAGTATATATTTGCTTTTCGTTCCCCAGGAGCTGTGATCACAGCTACGCTTAGCATCATCACACCATTAACCACTTCGAGGCTTTAGAACCTGTTAGGCGTGTGCTACCAGCTCCCTGATGCAGGCTGCTGTTGTCGTGGTGAGTCAGAAGAGTGAGTCACTGGCTTTGTGTACTGTGTGACACTTTGAAGGCATTTGAAGGAAATATTTAGTGTCACCTGATAGTTTCACTCTCTCATCTGCTAGAGAAATCTTAAAGTTCCCAACTCACTCTCATGCTGTTTATTTGAGCACGTCTTGTCACTTCGTACAAGAGATGAGGTTTGGAAAAGCTGTGTGGAAATCCAGTTCACCTGAAGTAGGTCATCTTTCAAAAGTGCTTGGGAGATCTTGGTCCTTAAAGGATTTCTGAGGTGAATCCTTTTAGAAAGTAAAGAGCACTTCATTGATTCAAGAGAGCTTGACAGGTATGCATTCTCTTCCTTCCACTGACGTAGATAGCAACTCTCCATAGCTTACATATCGATTTTATGGGTTGCCATGGTCAAAGAATTCATCACCCGGTGGCCTAATTTCTCATGATGAATTTACGTACTTTCAGTTTTCCTGGTCCTCTGGGAGAAGCCATGGGCCCATGCCATTGCCGATTGGTAAGATCTGACAGGGCTTCGTCACTGCTAGCACAGACTTCAAGAATTGGTCATTCAGTCAACAAACATGTATTAAGCGCTTAGAATGCAGCAGGAACCATTCTGAGGATTAAAAAGCAAAAATGAAAATAGTTCTTGCCTTCAGAGCTTACATTCTATTGTGAGATAATACATACCTGTATAAGTATATAAAAATGATTCCTATTACACAACTTATACAGGTCCTAATAAGTGTGAACAATGAATCCTGGGAATTGGTCATATATATTCAAATTCATATTATTTAAAGTTATGATTATGTAAAATAGGAAATTGGTTCCAGCCCACTGGAAATATGCAGTTTGAATTCTAATAATGCCAACACTTTACAGGATTCATTATTTGAACTAATTGAGCCCTAACTATATATTCAAAATACATACAAAATAAACATAAGGTAATTTGAGAGAATGTATTAGCAGCTAGGGAGACGGGGGAGATTTCATACAGGAAGATGAATTTTTATGAATAATGAATAATAGAAGAGAGGTGAGGAAAGAGAATAATTTATGCATGTGGGAAAGCACAAGGACCCAGAGACAGGAGATGGAATGTTGTGTATAAGGAAAAGTAAGAAGCCAGTTCAGCTGGTCTAAAAAATGTGTGAAGTCTGGAAAGGCAAGTCAGATCCAAGTTATGAATGCAGCAGTTACTTTCAAACCATTATGAGGCTTTGTAATAATAATCTGGTAGAATTTTTTTTGATCTGGACCTATATTCTGAGGCTGACTTAACTCAGGCCAGTCCCCTGGCCCTCTCTACTCCATACTGGAATGAAATGAGACACTTATGGATCATTCTTACTGGTTTTGTTCACTTGTTTCAGTTGTGTCCGATTCTTCGTGACCCCATTTGGGGTTTTCTTGGCAAAGATAGTGGAGTGGTTTGCGTTTCCTTCTTTCAACAGTTAACAAAAGGAGAATTACGTAGTCATAGAAGGAATAGGATGTTCAACAAGGATATGCATTGAGGATACCTTGAGTCAATTCAAGTGAACAAACCTCCCTTGCTTGAGGGAGTCACACAGCCAAGCATCAGAGGATGTCTGGAGCTCCTCATGGCTATTTTGTGCTCAGGCAACCAGAAAGTGATGTCAACAACTTGACCCTTTGGTCCCCTGAAATAAGCAAATATTGGGAATAGTTTCAATGTGTTTTGAGGAAAGTTATTCTGATTTACATAGACGAAGGGGTTAGGAATATTGCTCCTGTGAAAATTTGGAATTTCATCTGTGGGGGCAATTCCTGTGTGAAAATACCTGCTACTCAGAGGTTAAGTAAGTTGCCCACAGAGGCAGTGCAGTATAAAGGAAAGAGCATTAGATTTGAAGTCAGCGGATGTGGGTTTGAATTTGAGTTCTTCCACATACTACCTGTGTGACCTTGGGCAAGTCACTTATCCTTTCTGGGCCTCAGTTTCCTCATCTGTAAAATGAATGAGGTTGGACTACATTACCTAGATGCCTTCCAACTTTAAATTTATGATTCCTAGCCATACAACTAATATGTACCAGAAGAAGGATCTAAACCCAGATCTTCCTTACTTAAAGGCCAGGCCTCTATTCTGGGTCTGCTAGAGCCAGTACATACAGGATCAGAAGAGCTACTTGCTAAATTTTCAGTGTGAGCATTCACATTTTAAAAGTGGGGAAATGCTAAAATTCAGGGTTTGATTTATTATTTTGTTGATTGTCTAGAATTAAATAAGTGATGGAGAAAATGTTAATAATGCAGTTTAAATTTAAAAATGTGTCATGTGTACATTTTTTTTCTCCTGAGATCTGATTGTTAAATATTTACCAGCACATTCTTCTCTCTTTCCACTACCATGTTCTGCCTCTCTAGCAATGAATACTTTTGCAAAACCCTCTTTCTGAAGAAGCTGTTTTGTTAAGTTGAGCTTTCATCCATTGGATTTCCTTATAAGGAGGCACAGGGAAATCACAGGGTTTGCCAAGAGTCTCGAATTTGTCATGAGAGCACCAAGCTCATTGTGTTGATAAACTTCAGCTCTCTTTTTAGTGAAATTATGGAAGCATTTTGTGGTGCTATGAAAATATTTCTTTCAATTATGGAACAAGTTATAGGAAGAAAAGGACATGATTAAAAAATAAAATCTTCAGTCAGAGTAAAATGATTTTAAAGTTAGAAGGTCAAAAATCAATCAGTGGAACAAAGGCACCAAGATCCTGTAAAAATAATAATAGCAGGTAGCAATGTAGCACTTTGGGGCTTGCAAAGGGCTTAACCTTTATCTCCTTTGATACTCACAACAACCCCATGAGGTAGATGCTATTATTAAATCCATTTTGCTGGATACATGTTTAATGTGGAAAATACTAATGGAAACAGAGTTTGGAAAGTTGAAAGGGAAACTGAGGCATGGGGAGGTTAAGTGACTTTCCCACAATTATACAGCTAGTAAGTGCCTAAAGCTGAACTCAGACCTTCCTGACACAGTCTAGCACTGCATGCACTGAGCCACTTAGATGCCTCTGGAAGAATCTGACAAGAATGGGTTTGGCAGATGGGTAGAAAGCTCTGGGTGGGTTTTCTTTTTAGGACCTTGAAGAGAACTTCACACTGAATCTAGGCTTGTTAATATGGTTATTTCTACTCAGCAAAATTTGTAGCATGAAGCCACTGTCTGTGGAAATATAGGGCTTTAGAGATTCATGAGTGGTTAGCATTCCTTCCTTTTTTTAAAAAAAAATATTTATTTTATTTTTAATTTATGAACTAAAGCAACTATTTCTATAACATATTATAAGAAAAGATGAATGTGCATGAAACTGCAAATTTATTATATACAACTTGCTATTCCTTTTAAATATATAATAAAGTTATCATTTGTACCTATATCAGTTAACTTGATTTTATTCAATTTGATGAAATTCAATGAGCATCAATTAAGAATATACTATATGTAAGGAACTGTGCTGGTCCTGGGGATACTCAAAATATTGCAGTGACTCTCTGATCTCAGAGACTACCATAGTAATGCCTCCCATGGCACAGCTCATAATCCACTCTGTGGCATTTGTCCTTCTTGCTATAAGTACATCACAGAGTTTATCACATATCTAATATGGATTAAGCTAAAGCCCATGACCGTATTTTATATCATTGCAACTTCAAATAGTATGAATACAGATGATAACTTCAGGGAATTCATTATCCATACTAATTGGGACCTAGCTTTATGTGGTCTACCTTTTGGTCATTAGTCACTTTGCCACATGACCAGAAAAGCAGTCTCTTCCCTCATGAAATTCATATTCTACTTAGCACACAGAAAACCTGTTCTTAGACTCTAATTGAGGTGTAATATTATTTTATGATTTTGCCTTTTGGAACCCAAAGTCAGCAGGAAATCACTGTTCCCAAAGTTACCTTTATATTAGGTTGTCATACAGTAGACAAGCTTTTTTTTGCTGCTATAGGACCTGGTATTCCAAAATCTGATGCTCACTTGTTAATTTATCTAACAAACATTTGTACAAAGGTAGTCCCTACTCTCAGAGCTCCCAATTTATTAGGAGAATGAGATAAATATACCAATAAAGATAATAAAAATTCAAATGAGACCAGAGGATAGAAAAAGTCCAAAAAAGAAGAGTGACCCACTGGGGACTGAGAGATCTTTTACGGTCAGGGGAATCACAGATGGACACATGGAAATGGTAACTTCTGAATTAAGTCTGGAATGAAAGGAAGTTGGGGATGTGGAAGGAATCCTTTGCAAAGGTAGGCAATGGTATATAAAAATGCATGAAAGAAGGAAGGGACAGAACATGATGGGGAATCTAGAATGTAGCATGTGGGACACAGTGAAACAACAGATGGCAGAATTTCTAAAATATGAGTAGTTATAGTTGAACATGACCAGTGTTCAAAGCATAATTTTAGCTTTTGGGGCCATAAAAGATATAGGGTACTTTCTGATCAAATAAAATTCTATGGGCAGAGGAAGAAATCCATCAATGATCAGAGTCTCCCTCTAGACTATGGACCTGGGACAGTTGCCCCCAATCATAAATTTGGACTTGACTGTGCTTTTCCAACATAAGAATAACAGCCACTGGATAGTCATTATATTTACGGCAAGTACCCATCACCAAATAGCTTCTGGGCCCAATTACAGACATAATATTCACAAAATAAGCTAGCCTCTGCCATTATGGTTTGAAATCTAGCTAACACAATAAAACAAAACATTCTCCATCTTTCCCTAAAACGATCTATAGATATGTTCATGGATAAAATATACTGATCATTTAATGAACACAAACAATCTGATATAAAATATAAAAAAACCTAGCCCTGCAACCAAACACACATAGACTGTCACAAGTGGCAAATTATTTTGCTCCCTGGGAAGACAGCACTTAGAACACAAAGAAAATAAGTTGACTCTTGGGTAAGGATAATGTGTGGCAGAGGCAGCTCTCAGAAGAGTAAAGATGGATATGCCAGAGATCTGTCCATTCGTTTTCATAGATTCTTGTTTGCTCATTTCTAAAAATGTGTAGAAAAACCACAATTGCCAGTCTGCTGCTAGAAAGAGACTTGTGTCCTGTTTCAGTCTGTCTATGGGAAACTGAGTGCTTCTACTGACAAAAAATATTTCCGCCCTCTTTTGCAGAGATGTTCTTATTGAGGTTACGATATGCTCAGGAAGCCTTTCTCTCTACAGTAGGAGATGATAAGTTGTGAGGCACAACTACAGGAGGGAGAAGAAACCCCTCTATCTCTTTAGCTTTAATTGGAAGAAAATCCCTGAGGAACTTTTATGGCGGTTAGCTGATTTACATGGAGAAAGGGATGAAGCCAGGTCCACAGAGGGTGTGCTTAAAGACCTACGCTAGATTGGCAGCTTAACGTCCTTTTCTCTAATTAAATTGGGAATAATCTGATTTCTTTCCTCATATTGAAGATTAAAGATCTAAGAAGTGGTTCTTTCAAAAGGCTTTTGATATGAAGGTGCCTTGAAGCCTCAAGATATTCGGGGACCATGAATAAACCTCAACGATTCTGGGTTCAGGCAGATTGTCCCAGGAAATCCGGGGGACAGGATTATGGTTAAATTAAGCAGTGACAGATAACAGTTGAAGAGGAATGAGAAAGGTAATATACTAAAGTGTACTTAGTGGTTTATGTGGTACAGTGAACTCCCTAAGGAGTAAATTACCTCTACCAAGGTTCTTGGAAACTTAGTCTTGGCTACCTAGAGTACTGACAGGTGAAGTGACCTGCCCCAGAGTCACACAGCCAATGAGAGGTGGAACTTAGACCCAGCCCATCCTTACTCTGATACTGGCTCTCTATCAGCGAGGCCACACTGTCTCTAAACTTGCATTATCTTTAAAAATATACAGTCAAGATTCATTTGGAAAAACAGAAGGTCCAGAATATCAAAGGAACTAATGAAAAGAAATGCAGGGGAAGGTGGCCTAGCAATTCCAGATCTTAAATTGTATTATAAAGCAGCAATCATCAAAACTGCTTGGTACTGGCTAAGAAATAGGGAGGTGGATCAGTGGGATAGGTTAAATATGCAAGACACAGTAGTCAATAACTGTAGTAATCTATTATTTGATAAACCCAAAGACCCCAGCTTCTGGGATAAGAACCCACTCTTTGAAAAAAACTGCTGGGAAAACTGAAAAAGAGTATGGCAGAAACTAGGCATAGACCCAAATCTCACACCATATACCAAAATAAAGTCAAAATGGGTTCAGGACTTAGATATAAAGGCTAATACCATAAGTAAACTGGGAGAACAAGGAATAGTTTACCTATCAGATCTATGGAGAACAGAAGAATTCATGACCAAACAGGAGATAGAGAACATTATGAAAAGCAAAATGGATAATTTTGATTACATTAAATTGAAAAGTTTTTGCACAAACAAAGCCAATGCAACTAAGATTAGAAGGAAGGTAGAAAATTGGGAAAGAATTTTTACAACCAGTCTCTCTGATAAAGGCCTCATTTCTAAAATATATAGAGAATTAAGACAAATTTATAAGAACACAAGCCATTCCCCAATTGATAAGTGGTCAAAGGATATGAACAGACAGTTCTCAGATGAAGAAATTAAAGCCATCTATAGTCATATGAAAAAATGCTCTAAATCATTATTGATTAGAGAAATGCAAATCAAAACAACTCTGAGGTACCACATCACACCTATCAGATTGGCCAACATGACAAAACAGGAAAATGATAAATGTTGGAGAGGATGTGGGAAAATTGGAACACTAATACATTGTTGGTGGAGTTGTGAAATGATCCAACCATTTTGGAGAGCAATTTGGAACTATGCCCAAAGGGCTACAAAAATGTGCATACCCTTTGATCCAGCTTCTAGGGCTATATCCCAAAGAGATCAAACAAATGGGAAAAGGACCCACATGTACAAAAATATTCATAGCAGCTCTTTTTGTGGTGGCAAAGAATTGGAAATTGAGAGGATGCCCATCAATTGGGGAATGGCTGAGCAAGTTGTGGTATATGAATGTAATGGAATACTATTGTGCTATAAGAAATGATGAACAGGCTGACTTCAGAAAAACCTGGAAAGACTTGTATTGTCTGATGCTGAGTGAAGTGAGCAGAACCAAGAGGACTTTGTACACAATAACAGCCACGTTTTGCAATGACTAAGGTTGTTAAACTGAACCCTTCTCAGCATTACAAGGATCTAAGACATCTCCAGAGGCCTCGGGATGGAAAATGCTGTCCACATCCAAAGAAAGAAATATGGAAGTTGAATTGCTATCTTATTTTTACCTTCTGTTGAGTTTTGTTTCAGCTTTCTGATGGTTCCTTCTACTGGTTATAATTTTTACTTACAACTTCACTGATGTGAAAATATGTTTAATAGGAATGTAAATGTAAAACCTATATCAGATTGTGTGCCTTCTTGGGGAGGGTCAGGGGGAGGAAGGAAGAGAAACATTTTCAACTCAAAAGCATATGGAAAAAAAAATTAAAAAAATACAGTGAGGTTTCTGTTATGTTCAATTATTTAAAGACAGACTGCTTTCCCCCCCTATTGAAAAATCATGCCTGAGTAGAGAATTATTGGAAATTCTCATTCTGTTACTGATGCCTATAAGAATCTTGGCTGTATAACCTAGGATGCCAACTCAGTTTCCATCACCCACTTTAAGATGGCTTTTCTTGTTTTGCAAAGTCTTTAGGAGGAAATGGTCTTAGGGACCTTAAGAACCTATACCTATAAAAGTGGCAGCAAACATCACAGAGTGCTTTGAACAGGGACAACCCAGACCTATTCCAGATGTCCTAGCTCAACTGCTATGTCTCATAGAGTCATAGATTTGGAGACAGGAAGGACCATTTGGTTCATTTTACAGACAAGGGACCAAGAGAAAAGATGAACGACTTCCTAAGGGTCACACAGGTGGTAAGTGGTAGAGCCAGCATCTGATGCCAGGTCCTCTGGCTCTGAATATGGCATGGATACTATGAGATTTAACTGAAGCAGATTTTCCTCTGCTTGCACCAGCATTTGAACTGGAATCAGAGAGGAGCAAAGCATTGTTCTCTTCCCATATGTTCTATGCTACAAACAGGCAGTATGGTACAGTGAATCCATAGAGTACTGGACTTGGAGTCAGGGAGACATGGGTTCAAATCTTGGTTGTTTACAGTCTGAATGTCTACAGGCAAGTAACCTAACCTTTTTTGAGCCTTGATTTATTCATCTGTAAAATGGGAATAATAATATTGGTAGTGACTATTTCAAAGGTTGCTGCAAGGCTTAGGTAAGAAAAGGTGTAGAAATAAACTTAGCAGACTTCAAGTGCCAAATAAATATCATATATGCACGCGTGTGTGTTATGTATATACACGTGTGCATATATACTTGCATGTATATGTATGTGTGTTCATATACATATACATACATACACACATATATAGATACATATGTATGATCTTGGGCAGCTAGGTGTTACAGTATATAGAGCACCAAGCCTGAAGTCAGGAATACTCCTCCTCCTGAGTTCAAATCTGGCCTCAGACACTAGCTGTGTGACCCTGGGCAAGTCCTGTTTGCCTCAGTTTCCTCATCTGTATAGTGAACTGGAGCAGGGGAATGGCAAACCATTGTAGTATATTTGCCAAGAAAACTCCAAATGGGGTTATGAAGAAGTGGACATGACTGAAAACGGCTGAACAAAATGTATAAGCTTTTAAGTTTTAACAAATTAAAACTGTACTAAGATTAGTGGAATGGCTTGTGTATGTGTGTATATATATATATATATATATATATATATATATATATATATATAATACATATGGATACATATATTAGTATATATTATATAATAATTATTGGGTTACTGGGCAGTCAGGTGGCATAGTGGATAAAGTACTAGGCCTGGAGTCAAGAAAACCTGAGTTCAAATCTGAACTCAGATACTAGCTGTGTGACCTTGGGCATCTCATTTAACCTTATTTGCCTCAATTTCCTCATCTGTATAGTGAACTGGAGCAGGAAATGGCAAACCACTCCAGTATCTTTGCCAAGAAAACCTCAAATGGAGTCACGAAGAATTGGATACAATTGAAATGACTCAACAAGGTTAGAGAATAGAGGATAAAATGAATGAATAGCCATTCATTCTTTCCTTGCAAAGCTGTTGACATCTCTAGACCGAAGAGTAAAATCAGATTGAAGTTCTTTTGTCTCCAGTACTCACTAACTCACTCACGGTCCCTGAAAAAGGGAGAGAAACTTATTTGGAGAGGTTGAACCTGTAATTTTATAATGACACCTTCAGCAACCTGGCTGCATAGGAAAGGCAAAGCCAAGACTGCCCATAGAAAGCTATTGTAATACTTCTGAAGTCTCATAACCTCCAGTTTCATGAAGAGGCATCCAGATCTTCTGTCAGGCCTATAATAATCAACATTCATCAAAACCTCTCTCTCTCTCTCTCTCTCTCTCTCTCTCTCTCTCTGTGTGTGTGTGTGTGTGTGTGTGTGTGTGTCTCTCTCTCTCTCAGTGTCCTTAGCAAGAAGCCAAATAATTCAGAGAACATTTTGAAGTTCAATTACATTTTTTTTTGGTGGCAAACCAGGAAAAGGTAAAAGCTAAATCATTTTTATGCACTGGTCCTAAAGTATCTTTATATTGATCCTCCAGGAAATGGTCATTTAAACATTTTGACCTGACAGCTAATTCAATATTTTTTACCCATAACTGGATCATTTGGGTTGATAATATTTTCTGTGTTTCATTGTGTGCAAACAGTACATTTTTCTAGTAAAATCTGAGAACATAAATAAAAATGAAGCAAAGTAGTTGGTTTGGATGGTTCCAGATTTTCTGGAACTGTAGGAATTTGTTGCCAATTTTAAAAAAAACCTTTAGCTGCAGGTATTAGAATTATAATATTAATACAATAACTAAGAGAAAGCACTTTTACCTTCATTAGCTTTGTTTGAGCCTTATCAACGTAAGTGCTACAGCTAATCCCCAATTTATAGATGAGGAAGAAACACGCTTAGAGGGATTAGGTTTCTTGCTCAGGGTCACATAATAGATATCTGAGACAGGATTCAAACCCGAATCTTCTTGACTCCAAGTCTAGCATTCTGGTTGCTGTTTCACCCTGTCTGTCATACTGGAAGTCATTTAATCCAACATCCTCTGGTTGTAGATGAAGAAACTGAAGCTATAAAGGTATATAGTATATAAAAAAGCTGCATTCAGAAACATCTTATAGAGAATATATGCAGGGCAAATTGAGTATCTATATAATAAGACTGCATACATAGATCTCACCTTGTGTGATCTTGAGCAAGTAACTTAACCACTCTGGAGCCTCAGTTTCCCCACCTGTAAAATGAGGGGGTTTAAACAAATGGTCTCTGAGATCCATGCCAACTCTGAATTTATAATCTTGTAGTTGCTGTAGTCTATAGTGACTTTAAAACTAAATGAGAAAAATACATGGATTATCTATATATTTCTTTTTATAGTATAATATGCAGTGATAAATTGAAAAATAGCTAAGATGATGATACTGTAGTCTTTCTTTGACTGTGTCTCATTGGAAAATTTCTCAGGTGGTCCAATTAGATTTCTAACTTAAAAGATTTCTAGTAAAACTGCAACTCTTTGTACAATCCAGCCAATGACTCACAGGGAACACACATATTTAATCCCTCCAGGACTCAGAAATGTGTGCAGTGGACTAGTCCCCCTCAGCCAATTGACTCAAGTGAAAAATTCCAGAGAATTCAGTGAGTTTAAGCTTAAGGGCTCTTATCCAGCCAGGGAAGGAAGGGTCTCTGGAAGTGGATGATAATGGCTCCTTCTGACCTTGTTGCTGAGCACAGCTTTCTCTTGGTGTGGATGCCAGCT